GGGGGTGTTAACTGTGAGGCACATCGTGGCACTTCGCCCCGCAAGGCATTTTCAGGGGTTCCTGAGCGCGGCAGAGGTATGGACCGCCCGGAAATCAGCGGCGGAACATGAAGTCTAGTGTTGTTGTTTCAGAAAGACCTGTTAAGCGACAGAGTTGATTGGTTGATGGCAAAGATCATCCTGCATATGATGCTGAAGAGTTCCATCTAAAATGGTGCAGGGACTGGGTGTGTGTCCATCTAAACGTAGTTGCTGTAGTTTAAACTTTCTCGATGGCACATTGAGCACAACTGACATGTCAATCAATGTCAATCAGCTTTGAGTTCATGCTACGTCCCGTTTTGGTGGGGTTCGGAAATGGCTCCCTACTGAGTTTTGCAAATAAATCCGTTCAAAGACTTTTCAATGACCAACATGTCTGATATGTGAGTGCAGTTTTCTCCCAAAACCACCCCTAGGCATATATATATATATATATATGGCAGTCCCATGGAGTGTCTGGGTACTCTGCAGTTTTTGGGGAAATCCAGGAAGCGACATTGATTCCAACCCCGGAGGGGCGATGAACAGAAACGCTAAGTTTCGAAGTGTCGATCCACATACCGAACCTGAGGTACGGTGTCGATCCACATCCTATCTATCTTAGGCGCCTGGCTGGGTCGGGCCCAGAAGTGCGTTCCAAAGTGGCAGTGGATCCGGTACATGACCGGGTACATGCATGTTCGTTGAAAACCAACCAAGAGAAGTTAAGTGACCGTAAATGGGACCCGTAACCTGGGGTACCTATGGGATAGTCTAGGTCGGGGTCTTCAACCTCTCTTGGAATCTCCAGAAATCGCACTTAAGAATCGATTTGTTGGGGTCACGATCGCCCCTTTCAGACTCCTTCGATTCCTGTGGCGGGTGAGCTGGAAGGACTCCCAAGGTACGGAGCAAGCGTTTTCCATCCCCGTTCGTCGTCGACCTGGGAATTCGGGTGGAACTCCCATGGAATTCTGGTGGATCCCCCTTCCAACGGAAGAACTTCAAGTTGCTTCACTGACCCACTCTGCCTAAAAAATGTCCCAAACTCTGCACACTAGCTGCACTAGCTCGACGTCTAACCAGTGTTTGGTTCGGAAGATTGCCTCTGGCAGGTGCAGGTTTTACTTACATTTCAGAGTAGATGGCACAATCCCCAAAAGCGCTTTACAGTGCTTGATATGGACCCCTATAATCTTTAAATGCCTTTTGAACGCATCTTGGGGTGCCAGTGCTATACAAAACCATCTGAAACCGCTGTAATCAACCGAGTCTACCGTCTCTCTCCACCCACCCTCCACCTCTCCGCTGAGCCACCTCAATGCCACTCCTCGCCACGGCTGGGTGATGGCCGTCGGCCCCTGAGGCAGCTGGACACCGTCCAGCTTCTTTGTGTCTGATTTGTCTTTTTGTCGGATTCTTGCAAATGATTTGGCCATCTTTGGCCAAAAAATCTGCTATCATACCAGCATAGCCATGATTTCGCGTGTCCATGACTAGGGCCCCTAATGGACGTTGGGGGTCAGGTTGGGGGTCCGACCATCTAAGAACATTGGGACGTGGTATCGGATCCTTAGGTGATTGGTTGGTTGGAATCCCTCTAGGCCCTAGAGCCTTTGGAAAGATCCCTAGGGCCGAGGGCGGTCCGGTCTCGGTCTCGGTCAAGGGTTTTTTTGAAGCACTGTGGCAACCCACCTGGTGAAGTCAACTGGTAACTGGATGGTTCTGGGGTTCCGACAAAGCTGGGTCAAGCGAAGCCACGAAAAACATGCCACGAAATCTCTTGGCTTGCACCGTTTGGCGGTCGTTTTGGAGGGCCATGGGTAGTTCCGTAGCACGATGCCAACATACCCCCTTGCGGAATATACAATATATAAGTATATATAATATATATAATCATATATATTCAATTACATTCATACATAAGCCATCATAAGCCAAATCAATAAAGCTCTCACCTCAATCTCCCCAACAAAACCCATCGCCTCAACTTCAATCCACTTTGAGCCAGGCTTCCACTCAACCACACAGCCACGGTATCCCACGGTGAATATCCAGCCAGGCTTGGCCCAGACTCTACCACAACTTCGCCACCAGCCAACCCACCGAAGTTTAACCTTCTCTCCTTCCCAATCTTTGCAACAAAACCAACTCCCCTCCGCCCCCCGCCCGCGGAAGCCACCGCCCCATGCGGAAGAAAGCCCACCCCCGCCTCTAGGCGCGCTCGTCGTCGGAGTCAAAGAGATCGGCCCAGGCGCGCGACGCCGGCTTCCTGGCGGTGGTCGCGGCGTTGCCAACGGGCGTCCGGTTGTTGCGGGGGTGTTCTGTTCAGTCCCCCCTATGGATCGACCTCAACCTGGCTGTTACGGTGAAGAGATCGGGCGGGTCGGGCCGGTACCGTGGCATCCTTTGGGCAAGTGCTTGGTGGCTCGGTTCGGTCGGACCTCGGGACGTGCGGTTCGGTGCTGCCATGGTGAGGGGGTGAGGTTCGGCAAGGGTTGGACTTCAAAAAAGGCCAAACATCAACAGTCTGGCATGAAGAAACACTTGTGAGCATAGCAGTGAGGCCACCAACACAAACCAGCTATACTTTGGTTCTTCAAGGCTATACTGTTGTGAGGTAGGTAGGCCTCTGATGATCAGGAAATACAGTGGGATGATCGTAGGTGCCAGGAAAACGGGTGAACATCTCGTGTTGCCCAGCCTGGGAGTGTGCAGGCAGCCTATGAAAAGCACCTATCGTGGATGATCTCACGTTCATGGCACCTTCCATCGCCAGCTTGAAGAAACACCGTCTCCGGCATGTGGCACTTCTGCCGAGCCTTTGCTAGGGCCTCTAAGGTATATATATATATATAAGTGGTGGAAAATCTCACGGGAAATTGGGATTATGATCAATTAAGGGCATGATCACCTCCGACGATCAATTGTCTAAGTTCAGAAAGCATCGAAACACTAACTATGAAACATAGGCGCCAGCAAGCCCCGTGGCTGTACAGGAATGGTCTGATTTCATTGAACGGTGATTTTGGAACATGGAAGATGATGACCAGCAA